TGGAGGAATTAACCAACTGTAGTCTTTCCTAACTAGACTTTCTAGAAATATATATTCATGGGAAACCTATTTTTAAAAAATTATTTGCATAACAACTATCAAAGCTTAGAAGTGAAGGTTCTGTAAAATCTTAAGAAATTCTACGGAGGAGTGATTTGCGAAAGTCGCTTAACAGTTATAATACGAACCTGTGTCTTGTAGACCTAAAGTTTTATCTCTAGTGGAGTTTACATTTTCCGATAAACGCCATAATCACAAGAATTGTATTTTATTTGTAAAGAAATGGTGTAACTTCTAAAGCAAATGCTTATCATAGGTGCTGTATAATTGGTCGTTTTCTCATCACAATATCTGCCTTAATCTCAAATAATGTATATGCGTCAATTAAAGAACTTAATGGCGTATGACATTAGGTTTGTCATAAAAAATCAGAATGAAAATGATTATTTTAGTGTATATATATAGGTTAATACTGTCATAAATATGTATAAACTGACTAGATAATCTAGTTGACTAAATAATTCACTCGGAACAGGCTTCAGGAAGTACAAGTCGTGTGCGGACCAAATTGCAACACAGCGTTTCGCATCATCATAGAACAGAGTATAGAATAGCAGTCAACTCTCTACCTTACCTCAAATTCATCGACTTTGAAAAGGCATTCAACAGCGTCGACCGACAAGTAATTTCAAAACTGCTTCAGAATTACGGAATACCACAAACCTTTATCAATCTCATTCAACAACTATATGAAGATGCCACATACCAAGTAATTCACAATGGGAAGCTCGGTGATGCCATCGAAGTGAAGACAGAAGAAAACAAGGCTGTCTACTATCACCTATCATCTTCCTGATTGTAGTCGACTAGACTGGATCATGCAACAGACCGTGAGGAGCAAGAAGAAGGCGATACACTAGACCGGGAAAAATATCCTAGAAGATTTGGATTGCGCCAACGATGACTTGTGTCTGATGTCCCACAAACTTGAAGAATCATAGGCGAAAACTAACAAGTTGACTGAAGAGGCAGGGCAACGAAGGAAGACGGGACTTCAAGTGAATGTAGAAAAGACAGAGGTGATGAAGATACCCAACCAACAACAACAAACACCAATCACCATCAATGGGGGAAACGTGAAGGAAGTAGCCTCCTTCACCTATCTAGGAAGCACGGTCTCAACTACAGGCGGTGGCACAGACGAACATGTCAAAGTCAGAATCGGAAAGACAGCAAGACAGGCGTTCATTAACCTGAAACCAGTGTGCAGATCTTCTTTACTCAACTCAGCATAAAGCGTCAACAACATCCACATTTTCAACACCAATCCAGTCAAGTCAGTGCTCCTGTATGGTTCAGATATTTGGTGCATTACGAAAGGTATTTCCAGCAAACAACAGACATTCATTAACAACTGCCTACACTGGCTCCATACTGAAGATCAGATAGATGGCCAGAATAACATGAATAAGCAACATGGAACTCTGGCTGGTGATGAACCAACGATGCAAGAACCTATCAGTAAACAAATGTGGAGAAGGAAGTGGAGATGGATTGGATTGAGCATACACTGAGAAGGCCGATTGGGGACATCATGCGCCAGGCCAGCCAGCCAGCCACTCGAGTGGAACCTAGATGGGAAATGACGAGTTGAGCGTCCGAAGTGAAGGTGGCATGGAGGAGATTGTGCGAGGAAGAAATGAAAGCTTATGTGGAGTTGTGAAGCCAGGTTCAAACGTTTGCAGAGAACGGAGTATACTGGAGACTTGCTACTGAATTCCTATGTTCCTTTAGGAAATCAAGAGATAGATAATAATAATAATAATAATGAATAATTCACTAAAACAGTGTGAAGTTATAAATTTACTTGCTACCTGGTGGCGTATTATTTGAATACAACGACAAAAATAGCTTCAAGTCGATGAATATACCTTCTTTTTTTCAGCATATCGATGTTTGCATCAGATAATGGTGAATGAAATGAACAGAAGTAGACTATTTTGTAGTCTTTAAAAATGGAAACAACAACAGTCTGATATTTCACTAAGATTTTGTCAAAACTTTAGTGTACAAACATGTTGTTTGTTTCACTAAAATATTGAGTGACTTTGTCATACTATTGTTGATTTAATTCCATTGAATCACATAATTGTAATGACAGGTTCACTCCTGCAGTCACTTTTATGAACTCGCTAATAAAGATCCTTATAAATATGCATCAATTAGCTATTCTGAAATAAAATAGCATCATGTAAATCTTTATTTGAACTTTTATTTCAGAACAGTATGTAGTAGTGCATTAAATTAACTAATCTTATTTAGATAATTTAAGATCATAAAATGATCTTATTTGGAAAAGAATGGATACTGTGTGGTTTGAGTTACAAACTTCCGGGCTACTGGTTGACAGTTATACTGATTTATTTAAAGAATTTTAGTGATAATAGAATCCATTGGCTTTCTATGTTTACCTCAATAAGCAACTGATATCATTCCGCTTCAAGTTTGGATCTAGATGGATAGTGTTTGATAATTGGTTTGGCAAGGGTGATTATGATGATGAACAGACAATTACATATCATTTATTCACATGAGATCCGTTTATTTATTCAGCGAAGATAGAAGAGATGAAATGTCAGTAAATAAGCTAGTAAAAAGCCTCTTTTCTTTTAAATGACTTATTTCTCGATATAGATATATTAAATAGCATACTACAGTCAAGTCTTTAGTTTCATAAATTTACTGTTTTAAGAAAGTTATAAATTTGCAAGCCGTTAAATCACATTCTTTTATATGACTTATTTTTAAGAAATTTAAGCAAGTAAACGTAGTACTGACAACCATTATTCACCTCGTTCATAACTTATTGAATTATAAGTATTTACTATCCAATTAGGACATTATCAATTGTGGTTTAGTTAGGAAAATTTAAAAAATAACTTGCATGGTTAAAATAAAGCTGTAAATGAGAACAGATGTCGACGTAGTTATAAGGTGAGTTGGCATGGATTAGAAGGTGCATACTATTACATTATTACTTTTCCCCCTTGGGATCTTAGTGGAACACAGGGCTTCAGTAGCATGTTGCCATTTCACTCTCTTCTCTGCAGTCTTTTGAACCTGACTCCACAACTACCCAGAAGCTTTCATTTCTTCCTCTCATGATCTCCTTCGTGTCACCCTCGAACGACCAACTCGTCTTTTACTCTTAGGATTCCACTCAAGGGCTTAGCCTGGCTCGTGGTGTCCCCAATCGGTCTTCTCAGTGTATGCTCAATCCATCTCCACTTTCTTCTTCTGCACATTTGCTAGACGGTGGGTTATCAGTTGGTTCGTTACCAACCAGAGTGAGTTCCCTGTTGCTTATTATTTCTGGTCATCTGATCTTCAATATCGAGTGGGCGTAGGTAGCAGCTAATGATGTGATATATTCTGTAGTTTGTTGGAAATGCTTTTCGTGACCCGCCAAGTCTCTCAACCATCACATAGAAGCACTGACTGACTAGACCAAACTAGTGTTGAAAATCCGGATCTTGTTCACGCTTGATGCTGAGCGCAGTGCAGTACATCTCCACACTGATTCCAGATTAATGCAGAAAAACTTGTCTTGCTGTCTTTCCGATCCTGGCTACTTTGATGTCACCACCTCTTCCTGTACCACCTGAGGTTGAGACGATGAGATGCTGCCTAGGTAGGTGAACGAGACAACTACCTGTTTAGGTTTCTTCCGTTGATGGTGGTTGATGCTTGTTGTTGATGCTGTTGTTGGTTGGGTATCTTCATCACCTCTGTCTTCTCTATGTTCACTTGAAGGAAGTCGCTTCTTCCTTCTCTGCCTCGCCTCTTCTGTCAGCTTGTTAGTTTTCGCCTGTAGATCTTCAAGTTTGTGCGACAAGACATTGGACATAAATCATGATCGGCGAAATCCAAATCTTCTAGGGTCTTTTCACCGGTCCAGCTAGCTTATGTACATCTTCTCGCTCCTCATGGTTTGCTGAGTGACCCAGTCGACCACAATCAGGAAGATGATCGGTGATAGTAGGTGGCAATCTTGTCTTATTCCTGTCTTCACTCAAAAGGCGTTACTGAGCTTTCTTGTAGTTGAATACTGGCGTGATCACCACACAAAATAAACTTCTTGATTTTATACCTGTAGTGAGTTTAATTACTTACTTCTTGAAGAACAGTAAAGGAGTTTATATTTCCTTTTTAAGGCTATGCTATTTCAGTTGAGTTGACAAGTCTCTGTTTTTAGGCTAACCAAGTAATGTTCACTGTTTTGAAAGTTATGAGTCGTATTAAACTACTTGTAAACTATTTCGGTAGTAGATATTCTCAGATCTAGGTGTATATCGTCATACAGTATTATTTTTAATGGAAAAAAAACATAAAATATCCTTAATATAACACAACTTTCAGATGTTTTCTTTTTTCTGAGTCTAATTGCATAAAAACTATGGTTCATGTACTAGGATTCTGTTGTCATTACAGATTATTGTGTTGAAATTAATAAATATATATTGTTTGTGTAGAAAGTTAATTTTATCAAAAACTAAATTATCATATTCATGTTAGTTTTTGATAATTTACCACATTGTTACTTTCGTTTGATAATACCTAAGTAAAACTAGATTCTTGTTATTTTATTCGGTCAATCAAAACAAAAGTTACATGAAGTTATCTTCAGCTTTAAATCACATAAATAATAATTCACATTGAAAAAAAACATATTACAAACAATATCAACTCAATGTTTAGATAATGAACGGGATTTCACTTATAAGTTAGTTATGTTTTTTAAGAATTTCGGGTTTACATATATGTTAGCTGCTATAGAAAACGATTAAAAGTACCACAATTAACATTCAGGTAATATCAAGACATAGGGGCCTATATGCCAATAGACGCCAGACAATTCGATCCAATAAAACAACGGAGAATTACAAGTATATTAATAAATTGAAAGTAGATTGGAAAAAAAAATTAAACTAGAGAATATGGTTTGATTCCCACACTTATGAGATACTCAATGAGACTTAAAACACTACAATGCTATAGTCAGTGCTTACATTCCATTTAAGAAGAGGATTATGGGTGATTAAAAGGAAACAACTAATCTTTTGACAGTGGTTGTTAATGAATATTTACAATATTTTAAATGAGAATAAATGAATGAAATTGTTTACATGCTAATAACTAATAAAGTTGATAGATTACGTACTTTGAACTCAATCGTTTTTCAAGTGAATAATTTAAAGATTTAGTCATCAGTGAATATGTGGTGTAAGGGTGAAAACGGATATTGAGCTTATGAAAGCTTATTTGGTATACTGGTGTTAGTAGTAGAAGTGGTAGTGATCACAATGTAACTCCAATGACAAGATTTATTCTTTTAATAAAATAAATTACAATTGAATGCATCTTAAGTTTTAATTAAGTAAGTATCGATATGTAATTATAACTGTTTTTATTTTTACACTGCAACCTGAAAAAAATTCAAATGCCATTTAAAAGTTTCAGCACGTTTTTAAAGTAATCTTTAAGCCGTTTTTTGACTTGTCTCCTGTTATCATTTAGTAACCTATTGCAGTTAGGTATTCATCTTTTTATTTGTTCAAAATGACAACAGGATCTAAATGGTTTATCTTAAATAAATGTTTAGTTCATTGGTCTGATTTGATGTTTTTATTCTAGAAGAATTGGAACACTGAACTGTTTTTTTTAACTAGTTTGAACACTAAATGAACAAAGGGTTTAGCTAAAAACTTCAAAAACCTACATCATGTTGATTGGCTTCAATGACGACAATAGTTCTCAAATGAGGAATATATGTTACCAATTATTCCGTTGTTTTTCAAAGGAATGAAACTATGCTTCCACGAAATTTAGTTTTATAAGTAGGAATTACCGGTTCTATTTATTCATTTGACTCTGTAATTCATCTATCCTCGAAGTAATCAAATTTCCGGACGGTCAGAATGGCAATGAAAATCTGGACAGACAGTTGAATATAAGAGATCAACTCACCTATTGATTCTAAAGGGAACATTTTCACATTATTGTTACGCAACAGATTTCTGAAGTACTTCATCGAACAGTGAACATACCTCCTTGATAATACTGCATACATAAACGTGAACAGTATGTAAAACAAATTGCCATTGGTCTGGAGTTCTTCAAATATTTATTCCTTTTCACCACAATATCTAATTCTGATGGTATAACTCTATATTTTTGTGAACAATACCACGCAAATAGAGGGAAATACTTGGACATAGATATTCACTTGGATCACATGATTATGTGGAAACTTACTGATTCTCAAAATCGTCAATATGGGTTCTTTTGGCTTCCAAAGATATAAGCATAAGGACTTACGGTAAAATAGGTGTTTATCTGACGTAACATGGCACCATGAAGAGGAGTCAAACATGTCGACTTTTTGTAACGGAAATTTGAAGTTTTGTGCGACCTTGGTACCATAAATGGTGGAAAAAAGATTGAAAACGATCTAAACTTTGACACTTTGCATATACTGAAAAGTGATATTTTCTTGTTCGTTTCACGTAACTAGCAGAATCTTCTGGTGTTTATAATAGAGTTTAATGACCTTTTTTCTGCATCATTCAGAACGCGGAAAATCTTGAAGATTTTTCAACATATATGAATGTGATGATGCCTGTAAACTGGCTTCTCTCATGAAAATCTACTAGTGCGAGAATAAAATATTTCAAGTTGTTATTCATCGTATTCAACAGCTGTTTCGTCCTAGTAGTGAACACCCACGACACCACACCACCAGAGATCGAACCCGCCACCTCCACGTTACGTGGCCAGCCTGTTACCAGTGAGCCACTGGGTCAGAATCCAATGGTCTATATTTCCAACTTCTGTTGGCTCATGATATAGCGCAACCGCCAGCCAATGTCATCCTTGGGTAACTGTCCTCAAGACCATCAGGCCCTGCCCCTATCGGTCACGACTTCTCATTGGAACTTCGGGAATACCTCTTGAAGCTAGTCACCAATGAGCACCAGTTCAATAGAACTTTGAGGGACTTGTGGGATTTGGAAATATTTGAAGTTGTTATTCCTTTGTTCCTCCAACTGATGTCAGTCTAAGATGAATAACAACTTGAAATATTTCTAAATCCCCACAACTCCTTCAAAATTCAATGAAATATTTAGTATTATTACTAGTAGTAGTAGTGGTAGTCACAGAATTTATTTTCGAAAAACCATATAGCTTTAAAACATTTATGACCATACGATTATCAAATATATAATTCACTTCCTTACTTCTATTTCTTTATTTCAACCGGTGATAGATATACACCAAGCAACTGGGGATTTTGATAGAATATTTTGAGTAAAATGAACAGATTAGAAGTTAAATTTTGTTCAAGATTATAGTAATGAATACTATGAAATAAATTTAATAAACTTTAAAACATTGAATTATTGAATCATTGTTTAAATTTCAGCAACAAAATAAGTATAATTTAGTGTTAATTTCCCCAAAATTGAACTTGAATTTCATTTAAAGTGACCAATAAAATATATTTTAGCATAGAAGTATTGTCTTATACGTTACATTGTTATAAATTAATGAAAACGGCTATCAGCACAATTTATAATGCAGTAAAAAGTTGGTTGGTTTAATGGGTGTTGTTTTGATGGTGTACATTCATACAGTCACTTAATAAGACAGGAGTCAAAAAAATGGTATACAAGTTTTTAAGTAAGTAAACTAAGAAGTAAATAAATATGTACTCATTATGCCTAAGTCTATTCACTATATTCTGTTTTAGGTCAAATGCAGAGAAATCTGTCCAAATCTATCCTATCTCAGGAATAATCTTTGTAGTAAGTCACTGAGAAAAAAATTAACCAAAAGCAAAAATATATTCATCAGATTACCCATTCTAAGTATAAATTGAATCTCTGTAAAGAATTATTCTGTTCAGTAGTATATACTTACCGGTTATCTTAAGTATCATTGTCAATGGTTTTCGTGTACCATATTCTTCTTAGTCTGCAAATTTTCTAGTCAGTGAAATACCTTATATCTACAGTTGAAAATCTTCGTTAAACTAACTAGAAAAAGTATATTTTGCTTTACAAATAGTTATGTAGAATGATGAAATCGTATTACATAACATAGTTGTAATTGATTTTATGTATACTTTTCATAGTGAGTATACTGTTTGTCTGAATGTCTAATCATTTACGATTTTAGCGGAACTATGGACTGTAAAAATGATTAATCTTTATACTTTCTGTAATACGAATAGATTAACTATTTGAAGAAGGCGGCCTGAATTTTAACCTACCAAAAGGTTTCCATCCAGTATATTTCATCAAATTCTTCCCTTTTCAATTTGTTTTAATCTTTTTAAATATAACTTTTAAACGTATCATGTATTCTTGAGTATTTTCAAGATGTTTTCAAACTCTCATTTCCCAAGCTACAAAAAAAGCGTTTCGGTGAATGGAAATACACTTATATATGCCCAAAATACAACATATTACTATTCTTAAGATAATTATATCAAATATCTGATTACAAAGTTTTGTACGGGATAATTAAACCACCACTATCAATATTTACACTCGGTTTTATATGTGTTCTTGACTTCAGATCAAACGCTAATGTAACACTAGCTGCCCGTTTTTACACCAGTGTCTTTATTAACACTATTCAGATGCAATAAATATTTCTTTAAGAAATATTTTGCCAGAAATATATTTGTTGAAATATACTGAAAAATACTCAACGATGACATTGGGTGGCGGTCTGCGCTATATCGTGAGCTAACAGAAGTTGGAAATATGGAGCATTGGATTCTGACCCAGTGGCTAGCTCAATGGTAACGCGCTGGTGGCGGAACCTGAAGGTCGCGGGTTCGATCCCTGCTGGTGGGGTCGTGGGTGCGCACTGCTGAGGAGTCCCATACTAGGACGAAACAGCTGTCCAGTGCTCCCAGGTTTCCTTTGTTCCTCCAACTGATGTCAGTCTTCGATGAATAACAACTTGAAATATTACCTGTTGAAAATTCGATAATCTATCATATATACTATTTGGAATAACAAGACTACTATTCAAAAAAATCTAATGGTAAAACAAAAAAACATCTAATATGGATAATGAAAACAACTGAGCCCGAGTAAATTCTTTCATCTGTTCACATATTTTAAAAGTCATTTTCAAATTTCGTAAGATACTCGATCCAGAATTCAAATATAAAAAGGTAGACATGTTATAAATGTACAGTCGACGGTAATAGAGTATAATCGTGAAATGGTGAAGAATATTTGTAGCTCAGGTGGATGGTCTTGTTTGTATTATGTTTGCTGAGCTGGTTTGTTCAGTCTTTGTCTTACTAGATGACATCATCAGCACTAACTTCAGTATGAAGTGAGATGTCAATATCTCTCCGACGATATGGTCTGTGATTGGTTGTTTCCTATCATTGTTGTGTCATTGACTGACCGCATAGATTTTCCTGTTGCCTGTATCTCTGCTTCACCTCTGACCTTCCTGTCGTTTATCATCTTTCTCAATGCTTGATAGATTGAGTCTATGTCTATACGTCTGTTGATTGCTGACTGACCTGAATGCCAAACTTCTAGGAATTCTCTGATATTCTTTGTATTCTCTCTGTCCAAGATTTCTATCAAAATCTAATTCATGTCCATAGTTGTTATCCACATGCATTGAAATGAGTGATGAAATGTCGTGACGTTTAATAGCCAACTAGTGTTCATGTAGACGAAGGCGAAGAGGGCGAACACTTTGTCCAATGTAGTGTTGACTACAGTTATTGCAGTTGATTTTGCAAATAATATTCGGTTTGTCTTCTTTGGTTGTCGCATCCTTTCGTCTGCATAATAGGGTTTGCTGATGATTTGTTGGTTTATGAGCCACACCAATTCTACGTAGTTTCAGTAATCTTGTTGTGATTCCTGACATATTTTTTATGTACGATAGGATGATGCGTTTATTGATTTCTGCGAATGACTTTGTAGTTGGTGATGTACGATACAGGCATCTTCTGATAAAGTTTCGTGGGTAGCCGTTCTTCTCTAGGATAGACATCAAGTAATTTTCTTCGTTTCTCTGTGAATTCGTTGGACTGCAGTGTGTTCCTGCTTTTTTGTGGGTTGTTGGGTTGTTGCTACTGTAGTTGAGGATTCGATCAGTGTGTGTTTGGTTTCTGTACGCTTTGGTTTCTAGTTGTCTGTAACTTGTCCTAGTAACTAAAACATCCTGGGATGGTAGTTAGTTGTTCGACTCCTCTATTGTGAATTTGATGCCATTGAAAAAGTTTTTGGCCGAACTGTAAGTGTTTTCTATATCATCTTTTTTAATGATGACAAACGTTTCGTCCACATACCAAATCCAAATTTTCGGCTTAGTCACGGGTAAAATTTTAGC